CAAACTATCCTCATTTATGAGAAATGAATTCCATGAACATGTTTAGCTGTGTCGACTTTTTAAGCCAAAATAGTAACTACTAAGACATCCCTGTTGGGCATGTCAGTGTCTATTCCAAATTTAGCCTTGCCAGGGCTACATGCGAAGTTATGTAAAGGCAATCTTCCCAAAAATGGCCTTATGCAGCATGATGCTCCAAGCCTGGGCTAGTATATTAGCTCAAACCTGGTTCAACTCAAATTTTCGAGTTCTACAACTTCATCAAGAACTTTCTCATGTGATATATATGTCCAAGTAAATTACATACACTAGAGAAATATATCAATTTATATCAGGATAATAATTGTTAAGGTGTGTCTTTGTGCATTAGTTATAGAAGTTGCAGTACTCGACACTTTTGACACACATTGGACACCTATAATATGCTTTTTGTCCATGTTATAATGTTCAATTTGACATTAATAAGTGCCCAAGTATATCTTATTGCAATGCTTTTTTTAGGCAAAACTACTGGACACCTTCCATGTTGTTGGACACTGAAAGTCGTTTAGTTGTCCATGTAAATACTGTATGTTGTGCTCTGAGAAAGCATATTGTTGCTATGCTCCACGCAACACTACATACTATGCTCTAAAAGAGTATATTCTAGCTATGATCTTTGGGCATGTCAAGTAATAAGTCTTCTCACTTGCAAAACCCAATATCTTCCTACACATTAATGCAAAGTGTTGCAAAACTTTGAAAGACAAAAAATGGAATATCCAAAAACAAAGTCGTCATTGTCGTCGTCATCATCATCAGAACGAAAGTATGGACCATTTATTTACTTCAGTTGCTATGAACCATTTATTTACTTCAGTTGCCCCTTATTTTACTAAGTTCCTATACAATTTATGGGTGTACTTCCATTTTCAACTTTAAAGGACTTTAAAGGAAATTTCTGAAAATTCTCTCTTAGAAATCCCCTTGCCACATCCTCTCATTTGTTTAGACTCTCTCCCTCTTGTGAGCCATCTATCTCCCTCTAGCAAAGGGGGGAGATCCAGCCGACCAGTCCCGGGCCTTTCCATGAATGGGGTATGACCACAACGCCGTTTGGCATTTCCATAGATGGGCAAAGCCACTCCACCGTTACTGCCTCTCCTATAACTGCAACTCTATCGCCATATTCATCTCCCCAACTCCATCAATCCCTTTCTTTGGTCGACCAGAACCTAAGAGAAATATGGAGTCGTATCGTCAAAGGGCATACCGCATACATTCGCACACCTTTGCCTGTGGCTCCCGCAGCGAACCCCGAACACTACCTCAGGGACCAGAGACTTTTCTCAGGCCTATGACTACCGCAGCAAGCCCCGATCACCCCTGAAATTTTTCTCAGGTCCTGAACTGCCCAAAGTCATTTCCCACACAGCTAGCCCCAAACTTACAGCACTGAGACTTTTCTCATGCCCTGACCTCCCGAAAGAACAGCTAGCCCCAAACTTGCAAAGAGAGACAGAGCATGCAAATGGCCAAGGTAACTCCACCCCTTCACAATTACAAGAGCAATGAACAAAATTGGGTGCAAACCTATGGCATTTCCCGCACCTTTGCCAAAGGCACCCACAGCGAGTCCTGACCACCACCCCACGACAAGACTTTTCTCACGCGCCGACCGCCCCAAAGACTTCCCCCAATACAGCTAGTCCCTTTGGCTCCAGCCACCTTTCTCACGCCCCGACCTCCCCCAAAGACTTTTCCCACACAGCTAGCCCCTATGGTTCCCGCTGCAACGGACCACCACCCAGAGACATCTCAAATTACAGACCCTCATTAATCCTTTTTCCAAATAAGAGACGGGTACCTTACAACTTTTTTAGAACGATTAAAAATTATTATAGGAGTGATATAAAAACTTAAAACGATTAAAAAAAAATTGAAAGAGTCAAAAGGAAAACATCAAATTTTAGTAGAGAGCTAATTTGCCCCGTTAATGACATTCTATGGGGTTTCATCCCCTTTAAACCTATCTACCTCGATCTTAGTACTCTTATATTGATTCCTAAAACTCTTGCTAGAGGAAAAGATCGCTACCCACCAGCCAGCCAGCCAGCCAACAGAGTCAGATTGGATGCAGTAGAGTGTAGTGGAGTTGTGGGTGTAAGGTGCGGATTGGTTGAGTGCTGTCCTGTGTTTAAGGGCCATGGAGAGTAACTCTTTCTCTCCCGCCCGAAGTGTTGTTGGAGCTTGAGTTGATCCTGTTCTTCTGGCTGCGAGCTGGGAAGTTTCTTGTCGATGAAGCCGATAGTCCGACAAGAGCCTTCTCATTCCGGAGGGTATTGCTCATTCCCTCTCTGATGGAAGCTCTTTTGTTTGCCCTTTCAATATTCTGCCTTTGTTTTTCTTTAGTACAGGCCGAACAACAATTGAAGCTTACATTGCCCTTAGTGATAATTATCTAGGACCTCCAAATAAAAATAACAAAAATTGTTGACACCCAAAAAATACACCAATATTTTTTTTGATATTCAGCCCCTATTCCCTCCTGTCTCGTACTCGCAACCATTGGAATCTTGGCCATCCAGCCTAAGCTAGCCCCCATGATCAAGCAAGATAAAACAACACAACACCATTTACATTTTGCTAAAAGAAAGTCTCACAATCACCCTTTATGCATCGTGCATGAAACATTCAAAATCACTCACTCACTTATTCTGTCTCTCAAAACATAACACTCAAAATCTCTCAAAACCCCTCTGCCTCTCTCCAAAACATGAAAATATACAAAATCTCTCTCCAGAAAACACTAGGAACAAGAATTGGTAAAAAAGCAAATTCTAAATGAAGTTGAGATGCATAAACTAATGCATATCAAACCTATAATTCAAGTCTATCAGCCCAACATTGAAAAGACATTCAACTGCTCTCTGGAAATATCTGAAATCCGAAACAATCTGTGTCTTGCTCTCAAACAAAAGGATAATATAGAAAAACAAAAAAGGCATCCTAGAAGATGAAATACTGATAATGTCAAAAAAAAGTGAGAATACCAAAACTTCAGCTTTTGGAATTATATATCTACTCTTCATCCTCATCATCGTCTCCTGCTGCCGAATTCAAAGCATTCAAACGCTCCACCAGCTTGGCCTTCCTCTCCTCATAGGTCAATTTCTTCAGATTATAACTGCAACAAAAACAACAAAAGACATATAAGAGAACCAGAACACATATACGGATTCGAGGCAGTGACCATGAATAGACAATTTCTCTCCTATATAGATTCTTATGAAGATGAGAAACAACATTTCCAGACAAAAGATAATAAAATCAGTAAAGAGTCGCTTGTTCTGTGATGATAACAGAAGTTTACAATCCCAAAACAAAGTCACCAAAGTAGAATGCAAAATTGACACACTAGGAAGAGTTTTTTATGTTTAAAAGGAAAGTATCCATGACACAATAGCATATCTATATCTAAATAGAGCCGGTAATATAGTAGGTTAATAGTTTGTTCTCTAAAGAAAGAGGATGGAAATTGAGAAATAGATGGTACCGTTTGTGCTCCTTTGGAGCAGGCTTCTTCTTCACAGAACTTGGGTCTGCCCTTATGGCGGTATGAACCTTCTTGTACATTTCTTCTATGCTTTCAGGCTCAATTTCCCTCTTGAGATACTCAACAAAATGAGACTGATACTTCTCTGGTTCATCTTCCCTCAACATCTGGATGTCAAAAATATAAGATAAGCTCAAAAGTAAGAATAAAAATAAACCCCAAACTAAAAAAGGTCCGCATTCCAGCATGCGGCACATCCCAAATTTGAGAAGGATGATAGAGACACATAGAAGGAAGTCACTTCTATGTATTTGAGAAGGATGATAGTCATAAAAAAAGATTGGCCCTACGTAAAAGAGCTCAAAATTGTGACTATATCTGTGAGAAAAAACAAACATTTCGGTGGTGTTATCGGGTGTGAGAACCTTGAATGTGACCCATAAAAAGGATGAGACAAAAGGAACAGCAGGAAAAATCTCAATAGCCAAGAGTGTATTTATATATTCAGAGAGAGAACATGTAGGACTCAGAAGGCAGGGTTCAAAAAACTCACCGACATGTAAGCTGCAACATGGCCACCATAGATATACTTGCGGTGGACCTCAGCGTCTAGGGACTTGTCATCCTTGCTATACCCTGCAAATCTCTTGTCACTGTGAGGAATGTCAAGCCCACCATCCAAAGCACCCTGAAACACAGCATACAAGCATATCATTCCAGAAAAGAAAGAGAGAATATGGATCATCCAATCTCCAATCAATCAAGTATACCAGTAAGAGAGAAAAAGAAGTCCTCAGGTATATGGAGCAAATTTAAGGCGTCCAAATTACACATACATAATACAAATAATAAATAAATATATAAATAAAATAAAGGCATCAATGTACACCATAGACGCATTATTTTACTAATCGACATGATACTGGGAGTCCCTAAACTGAAGAGGTTCCAATTTTTTTTGATAAAGGTTGACATTGAATTGATGGTAGAGAGTAATAAACACAGCAAAAACCCAAGCGGAACTTAAGAGGTTCCAATTATTTCGAATCGACTTTATTCCAAATCCATCTTGAGATCAGAGTAAATTTTCCCATATCCCCTTGGCTCCTTGTAAATTATCAGGTAAGTCATTCTAATTTTTCCAGCAAGAATCAAACAATGAAACATGTTTAGGGAATACTAATTGATTCCACACCTTCAGAGCTTTTAAACAACCCTTACCTCCAAGGGATCAGCAGAATATGAAATGTTAGATCTCTAGATGCACGAATCAAAGTCACTATTCCAATACTTGATCATATGTTCGTAGCATAATAACATATGGGAAAGAGAGGTAAAGAATACCAGTACCTCTTTAGCTTCTATCTAGAGGAATCAAACATTTTCACTTAATTTATACAATTATCAAAATAGTACAAAATCAAGAAGAAATAAGAAAATAAAAGATTAAGAGATGAAATCATGAAATCAACCTTTATAAAGTATGTCACCCAAATACATTGTTACCAGTCCAGATGGATATTGTGAAATACCAAATTGACATTAAGTCAGATGAAATGAAGGAGATTCAATATAAACTATAAACTCCAAAAATGCAATTTTATGGCCATGTGCGTCGGAATATTAAAAGTCCGGCTACATAGACAATAAAATGCAACATAAAACACATCGAAGGCAAAAAGGACACCCACTAAATAGGAATCAGATACCTTTAGTGCACCAAACACACGATTCCCTGTTGTAGTTTTCACAAGGCCAACATCAAGTAAAGCCCTGAATGGCCTCCTACTCTCAGCAGGCTCAACTGAGTAATCCTCTCCAGTGGCCTGGTATCAAAGCACAAAGTGATAAATTTGAATATCTAAGAATGGTTCACCACAATCAAACGTATAGAAATGTGAACAGAAATTCATCACTAGTTCATCACAATACTGCCATGCACAAGCATCAGCCACCACTCTATAATGCTAAGTTCTTTCATACTAAGCAAATTTTTTCCAGCTGAACAATCCAAATTGGCAAGAACAAAACTTTTTACCAAACCGCAACATGAATAAAAAATGTTTAAAGCAAAGAGTTGAGGGTGTTGTTCTACGTTTTGTGTGGTGACCTGATGGGTATGTATCAAATGCCAAGCTCTTAAAAGATAATGAAATATGTGCAGTATATACCTCCACATTGCCCTCATACTCGCTGTCCATCTCAAGCTGCTTCAACACACGACGAGCCAGCAACAAACCAGTGCAGTAGGCTAAGACATTTGAAATAAAAAAAAAGATATTACAAACTCCATCTCATGGAAATTCAGTACCAAGAAATTCTGTTTTAAGAACAAAATCCACTTTAAACATACCTGCAGCATAGTTTGTGAGGCCCACTTCGAGCCCATATCGAGGCAGTTCATGCGCATAGGAAGAAGCGAGCACAAGATCTCCAGCGATACTAGCAGATATAATTTGAGCAATTATATCCTTGTTGGTCTAAGCAACACATCTTGTCAAGGAATTTCTAGAATACTCACAAATAATTTAAAATCACTTTTTGATAGCCATCTCATATTATATTTCTTATTTCAATAATTACCTCACAATAACCAAAACGACTACTACATCAGCAACAGGTACAAGTTCAGAATCGAAAAACTTCAAAACACTATTAACAATGAAGAACCAAAAGGATACAAATCGTACAACAAATCGGTATTTGGGAGTGTTGTACTTATTCTTGTCCTGGTTAATAAGCCTAATTCTGGCTCTGTAATCAGTCTTTCCCTCTGCATAAAAAACAACAAATAATTAACACAAATAAGCATAATCATAGTAAGAAAATGACTCAAATGCAAAAAAGAAGCATGACAAAAACTTTCAAATTTCCATGTGTGGTGAGCACTAAGAACAGATTAATACCTCTCCTTCTCTTAAATTTGACCTGAAACCTCTTAAAGTAGGCCTTTGTCTTCTGAGCTTTAACAAAGGCCTGGAAATAGAGACAGACAAGAGAGTAAATATAAGATTTTGACACTAACTACTGTACTAGTCAATGGAAATAACATAGAATGCGCATCACGACAATTGATTTACAACTCAGAAACCAACATAACAAGCAACAGTTTTTCTTTCTATCAGATACAAGATGGCAAACAAGGAAGTATCCTACTAATATCAAACACATATAATAACTTATGGACCTGTACAATGACCTGTACAACACAAAGAAGAAATGCAATGCAAAACAAAAAGAACGTCTAAAAGCACAAAAACAAGAAAATCTGTTTACCAAAACACAATAAACCTAATAAACAATTAAAGAAATGAGGGAAAAAATAGTATAGCATTCAATTTGTTTTTTTTTTTTCCGACTATAAAAAAACTGAAAGCAAGTAACATATCGAAAGTTTAAAAGTAGAACATCCACAATATTCAGTGTTTAAAAAAAATGCATTCAAAGCAAAATGCGCGCAACAAGGTGCATTCCGCAATTTTACAGCCTTGGCAAGAGTCATTGGGATGTTCAAGTGACAATGTTCTAGATATAAGATAATCAAAAAACACTTAAATGTGCTAAGAAAATGACCGTAAAGTATTCATCAATATATTTTTTTCAGAACTTATGGATAATAGTACAACAGAATGATGAAAATCATCACAAACAAGACAGCAAACGGAATGAAGATTTCAATGAATGACAACTGGATCCATGAAGATGAATAATCTCAATTGATGATAAAAATGGTTATTTACAAATCTCAAAATCCAACAGCAAAAATCAAATAAAAATCTCTCGTAGAAGCTCCTTTTGGAAGATGAAACCCCTATATTAGTTTTATCAATACCCAATTTTTTTGAATTCTTATTCAGGTAGAGTAAACCTAAAACCTTCTATCAATTTATTAAAGTAGTAAGCAAGAAATTTCTTTACGAAATCATAAACAGTAAGAATTGAATAGAGAATTTGCGAAAAATCTTCTGCATAAGCAGCCTTAAGCACCATGGACCCAGGGGAATTCTAGAATGAACAACCTCCGATACACTAAGCCTAGACAAAACCTATAGTAAGGAAGAAATCACATTATCATGAAATCTCTTCTCACAACCTGAAATATCTAGAAAGCATTTCGCGTGAAAGCCCTATAATCAAACCTCACTCTTCCACAGTGAAGCTGAAAGGATCAACAAAAAACCTCAGTGAAACCCAAAAGGATTAAAAAAAACTCAGATGAAGCCCCATAGTGCAATTTAAAAACAGGCATACACCTCAAGCACAAGCACAGATCCATGAAAAACCTCACTCGCCCTAGAACAAGCAAACGCATCAAATGCAATCCAGTATCCACAGCCCAATTAAGACAAGGGCGTCAATATAAAGTTAACAAATCACTGAAATACTCGTCTGAAATGACACAAATGAGTGTCTAAAACAAAAGCATCCGTACGAACTAAACCATCAGGCCTTAAACCCATTGAATCAATCACACAAATACGCAAATGACAGATCATGAAGTCACAGATGAAAAGTCACGTATAATCATCCAATGAAGCGCAAACACACAAGAAACAATATCCCTAACAGTCATGTATACACTGCTTTGACTAAGTTTGATACAAGATTGAACGCGTAAAGAAGAAATATGCAATGGAAACCTGAAAAATCAACAACGGTAAAAAGCAAACAAAACTAAAGAGGCAGAGTAGATACAGAAAGGATCTCCTTACCATGGAGCAAAAACCTAGAAATAAGAGATAAAACCCGAAAACAACTGGTATGAGATAGAGACGAGATTCAGAGAGAGAAACTACATAGAGAATTAGAGAGAGAAACTATAGAGAGAGTTAGAGAGGGATAACGCTCTCACCATTGATACCCTTCAGAGTGAAACAACACAGGGGAGAAGGCCAACAGGATGAAACGTCTTTTATATAAAAAAGCCCTAGATCGCAAACCCTAACGCCTTTGGCCTTTTGTTTTTGCCTTTTCATTTAGCCTTTATCTCAAGATCACCCTTCATTTAGGGATTGGTGTATTGGATTGTATGATCCATGTGATCTTGGAGAATATGTGGTCATGAGAAAAGTTGTGAGGACCATAGTTAATGAGTCGGGGAATGATAATATATTGACTCACCACTATACGGTTTTGGTCCAAAAGTTGGAATGCAAAAATTTAGGTAAAAAATACAGTTCAGCAAAAATAATGTAAATAAATAAAAATAAACAAATGCAATAACCATCAATAACTAATGCATCCATCAAAATTTTTCTAAATTAAATTAAGTCGATTGGTTTAGATATCTCATTCCATGATCCCAAATTAACTACAAAACAATGCCAAAAAGATGATAAGCAATGATCGGGTCATTAGATCCAATTCTAAATACATGCAACACTCAAAATTATAAGGCATAGTAGAGTCGTTAGAATTAATATAAATGTTTAAGTGTCTGGGAGGGTTTATTCTGAATGTAATGGGGTTTACTCATCGATGGCATTCACTTCCATTGTTATGTCCTTGTTTTGGTTTTTGGATAATGTTTTCTCTAATGAATGTGTTTTCATAAAGATTATGTTTTGAATTTAAATTGTTTTGGAGAACACAATTTTCTTGGAAGTTCGAACACTCTTTTTGCATTTTGGTTAGCTCCATTTTTTTTTTTCGTTACCAACTATTGCATAGAATCCTTTCTACTGAAAATTGTTTGAATTCTACACAGTAAGTTTTATGTTGATCATATAAGGGGAGACTTTCTATTGACCCCGCTCATATATATATATATATATATATATTGTATGTGACCCCAGTATCAGACTTTCTATTTTTTGTTTTGAGTCTACAAATTATTTTGAAGCAAATTTGGGTCATGCATGGACCTCACAAGGGCGCACATCATAAAAATAAATAAAAAATATTTGCATGATGTAAATTTACTAAAATACCCCTAAAAACTATATGGGTATTTTAATATTTTTTTATATAATTTTTTCCAGGTTCACCCTAATTTAATGATGAGATGCCCAGATTTTCATCCAAATATATTTTATGAAAAAAATAAAAAATAAAACAGTATTTGATGTAACATTGTGATATGAACAATCGTAACCTAATAATTGGGGTCACATATCACTTATATGTTGTTGGGGTCGCATATAAACATTTCCCATCATATAATCCATACCCCTAAAACATAAAGCTCTATTTTCATCATTTTTTTTTCAATATTTTATTATTATTTTCATTTAGTGCTCCTTATAAAAATAAACATCTACCTCAATTCTAGGTAAAATAGAATTTTGAACATAAAAAATAAATTTATTATTAGATGTTGGATATGGCTTGGTTCATTATGTACCACTAGATGGGTGCACATGATACTTTCCCCACGAACTAGCCTAAATTACAAAAATCAACAATGATGCAGGTGTGGTTTGAGTAGATACTAGTTTTCTTAACTCTTATATGATTTCATTTTTAGTTAATGTGTATGGTTGTGATTTTTTATGAGATTGTAAATTGATTAAAACTCATGCATGTATTCTGCTTAAAGTTTATCACGGGGGGCTACCTTAAACAGGGATTGAATAATATTTCAAGAACGAGTTCTAAAGGTCTTGTTCCTCACCTCAAGGGTTGGCAACCAGCCTTGGCCATAGTGCAACCTTGATTTGCTATAGGGAAGGTGGAATATATCCAGGAAAAGTATACAATGAGAACATTTAAAGGTAGTCATAATTAATCCTGACCATTGGATTTGAAATTGGGTGGCTGTATTAATTGTATTGACCAAACTCAAAGTTCAGAAGGAATTATCTCGTACTTTGTGATACATCAAAGCTCTCATATGTTAACATCAAATGGATATAAGTAATTGTGGCCTCCTTGAACTAAAAGTAAATTGGCTAATTCTATGTACAATCTCATATTTTTAACATCGGACTGCCCCAAAGAACATTTACAAAAAAAAAAAGATAAAAAAAGAAAAAAACCAAAAACTTGGGATATCATATATATTCAATCTATTTTTTAGTTTTTAAGTACGAAATATTATACCGATATAGTTTAGTATATGGCAGTCTTACGTTTCCAATATCAAACCGGTCTAAAAATTGGTTGATGCAATATATGAGGCATTGGACTGCCCTAAAAACAACAAAAATTAAAAAAATAAATAAATAAATCAGATGGATATGTGCAACATCATACTAGTGGCCAACCTAAAAAGAAATGTTAATAAGACCTCGACGTTTGTTTTTTTTTTAAAAATGAACCTTACTGTCAAAGCCCTTTTCCCTAAGTACTCAATTGGTGCAGACAACCATGTGCACAAGGTGCGTACAGCCTGCCATGTGCGATAAAAGGCAGGCATGCGGTTAGACAGGCAGCCTTGTATGCTAGATGCGAGGCGGAATGGCGAGTGCATGATGCATGCCAACCCTAGGCAACCAATGAATGTGGGTGAAGGCAGCCTGATGCAGGTGCTTTGTGCGAGTAAGACTGCTTGAGGTGCGACAGGTGCATGGTGCAGGTCGACTAAGGCTGATGGACTCAAGTGGATCAACCTAAGTGGGGGAGGCGTATGGATCAGCCTGGTGGACCTGGGTATGTGCGTAGGGCAGCTTGGTGGGGCTGCATGGCCTATGTTTAAGGATTGTGCTGCGTGAGGCTAAGTTGTGTTAGTTGGGCTCTAGGTGCGGACATGCCTCAGGACTAGGGAAATTGATACTACTCCTATAATCGAGGGGAGTGGGAAAGCTTTGGGTCATGGGTGCCTAGTAGCGGACAAGGTTCTATCTAGGTGGGTAGACACTTGTGGAGGCTTGTAGTGGGCTCAACTAGGGGACTCGACCTGGTGAACATGGTCAAGTGGACCATGGGCCTAGGTGAGCCGTGTGCATGTGGCTGGGCAGGTCCGTGTATGCGAGATGGTGCGCACAAGCAGAGGGCTCGATGTGGTGTCTTGGTCAGGTGGACCTTGCACAAGACGAGCCATGCACTTGTGGCTAGGCAGGTGCATGTGCCTTTGCAGAAGGTGGGCTGAGGGTTGAGTGGGCACTTGAATGGGCGGGCGCTCCATTCGAATTCAAACCCCCCCTTTGGTGGGCGATGTGCCATGATGCCCATGTTTGGAGGCCGAAGATCAGGGGCGCAAGACTCGGTCTTGCCCCACGTGGTAGAGGCCACAAGACCAAGATAGCTAGAGCGCTCGACCTGGTGAGACTTGGTCAGGTGGGTCAGGTGTGTGCGAGTCGGGTGTGATGACTTAGGCAGGTCGTGACGACCCAATGAGCACTCGGACGACCTGGCCGACTTGACGGTGCAGCATGCGGACGGGGCGTGAGTCGCGGGATGTTGCAACATGAGGATGAGCGTGAGACGTGGGACGAGAACGCGGGCGAGGCGCGAGACACAGGACGAGCACGCGGGGGCGAGGCGTGAGACATGGGGCTGGCACAGCAGGCAGCTGTGACGAGCTGGCACGCGAGGCACGCGGGATAGGCGTGAGAGTATGTTTCACACCAGACATGGCCGAGGCTAAGGCTTCAGCCCGGACCGATTGAGAGGTGAACGGCTGGTGGGCAACCAGCTGCCCATGGCATGGTGCACATATAAAACCCCTTGTCCGGACTTAGTAAAAAGAGGTTATGGTTTCAAAATGTAAAGTGGGGCTATAAAACCCCTTGTCCGGACTTAGAAAAAAGAGAACTGTGGCTTGTACGCATTTCAAATTGGGCTCCCTTGCTATCCAACCCCATTTATGGATTATGTGATCGTGTGTGAAAGCTGGTCTAGCCTTGGATTGAAGGAGGATCAAGGCTAGGCGTCGCACGGGTGGATCGCGGAAAAACGTGACCCCTTACCCTTACCATAATAGCGCTAAGAACACCCGGTCTCAATACAAATTTCCTCGTAGTCTGTTTAGAGAGACAAAGACATCAAGTAAAAATCGGGCGGTTTAATCGTTACCCACCTGATTAGATTGAAATCGGCCCCTAACTAGTTTTGATTTTGACTGGTTTTGGTGACTAAATGGGAATTCTCAAAAAAACTTTTTAAAATTTTTTATATAAAATCTCAAAAAATAAGGGAAATGTTTTTCATCATTATCGCAAAGATGAGAAATTGTTTTGACCATTAATACTTATTTTTATATTTTTCCATCATTTTTAAAATTTTAAAAAATACCCATAAACACAAATTGATTATTTAAAATCCAAAATTTTAATTAATTTTGTACTTTGTTGAATAGTTATTTAAATATATTTTTTATATTTTATTAGATATTTTTTATTTATTTATATTTTTAACACTCTTTTAACCGTTTGGGATTTGCCCGATTAGAACAGATGAACCGGCCGATTTATTGATTAGGCTGATTGAACCGCATCTGAGCCTATGTTCAGTTAACCGTTTCCGTTCGATTTTTTCTATGGATTCAATTGAAAGAATTGCCTCCACTGAGTGTCCATCATATAATCACATAATTAATCTATTTTTTAGTAGAGAGAGAGAGAGATCCATTTTCCATTTAATTGAAACAAATAGGTGGGAATCACAGAGTTCAAAAAAAGAAAAAAGAAAAAAAAAGTGGGAATCACAAAGTTAAAACAAAGAAAAAAGAAAAAAGAAAAGAAGAAAGAAGAGTGGGAATCACAAAATCAAGCAAAAAGATTTCATGCTCTTGATGGAGTATGTTGCCCATTATCCCCCTCGAATAAGAACCCCAAATTTTGGAACATAACATCTTCAATCCATAAGCTAAACTGAATAATTTTTTTTTTTCAACTTGCAGTATCTATGAGCTTAAAAAAATGCCTCAAGATTCAACACAAACCGTCCAATTTTTTAATGGAAAAAGATAGCTTTTTTTTTTCTTTTGATCATAAACATCTTGCATGTGGTTCCCAAAATTTCCAAGGGTGCAGTTTGTACATAGCCTAGGCTCTAAACAATCAAATTAGAGCCTACCTTCAAATAGTGTCGAGAAATGTGGTTTCAATACTGGAAATTTTTGTGGTAGCCTTAAAATATATTTTCATATTTATTTATAAAGTTTAAAGCTTAAAAAATAGTGTAGATTGACAGATTTATGAAAACTTGAAAATCGACGGTCCAAAAATACATTACAAAATACACTCTTTTCAAAACTTGAAAATTGAAATCCATTTTTTTCATATATACATGCATCTTGATGTCGAGATGATCAATTTGAGAATATTTTTGGCATCAAAACAACCTCTTTTAGTGAAATTTTTGAGGTAGGCTCTAATTTGATTGTTTAGAGCCTCGGATACATATAAACTTTTCCTTAAAAAAATCTTCCCAAGTACGACTGGCATCGGGCCAGATTGCCATGGCCTAGGCTCGGCCTTGATACCCATAGGCCAGGCCCAGGCATGGCCTGACCCTAACATGGCCAAAGGGGCCTTGGCCCAAGCCCAGCCCTAGTCATGATGGTTAGGCCTATTGAAAAAAAATAAAAATAAAAATATGCGAAGAACAATAGATCTGGGCAGGTCCGACAGAACCCAGGGTCGTAGTAGCCCTACTAGGCCATTATCTTTTAGGGTCAGGCTGACTAGGCCAGGCCAGGCCAGGCCGAGCCACCCACCCCATTCTCACCCTTATTCTTAAGTAAGTTCTGTGAATATGTGCTTCTATGGCATCCATAATTAAATTACATTGTGCATGGCCTCTCTCATATCCAATGACAAGTAATCCAAAACCTCATAGATCTCTAGTGAGAAAGGGTGTGCCCTATCATTGGCAACAAAAGCATGCATTCTCTTCCCAACTTCAATCCAACTGCACCCTGTCCTCCTCCTCACCCCACTCTCTCTCATCAACCTCCTAACCTTTGCCACCTCCTCCCACAAACCAGCCTTTGCATAAATACCAACAAGTGTGACATGAGCTGCTAAACTATTTGGTTCCATCTCAAAAAGCTTATCTGCAACTTGTTTTCCAAGCTCTACATCTCCATGAACCTTACAAGCACCTAACAGTGAGCTCAACATAACTGAATTGGGCTTTAGTGGCATCTCATCTATCAAGTCATTGGCCATCTTTAGATGACCAGTCCTACCATAGAGATCAACCATGCAAGCATAGTGATCAAGCTTTGGAGCCAACCCATATTTATCTTTCATTGAATTGAAATAGTACTCCCCTTTGTCTAAGAACCCACCATGATTACAAGCTGTTAAGACACCAATGAAGCAAACATGGTCTGGTTTGAAGCCTCTACCGACCATTTCCTCGAAAAGCTTCAACCCTTCGGTCCCATGTCCATTTTGAGCATAACCCATGATCATGGCACTCCAAAGGAAACTGTTTCTCTCCCTAGAATCATCGAAAGCCTTTCGAGCTTCATCTATGCACCCACATTTAGCATACATATCATTGAGAGAGGTGGCTACAAAAACATTTGAATCAAAACCGTTCTTAATTATCAGAGAATGGATCTGTATCCCCTGTTCCATGGCTGCCAAGCTCCCACAAGAGTTCAAAAGGCTAGCGAATGTGAATTTGGAGCAACCCATTCCTTCATTTTGCATATCTAGAAAGAGTTTCAGAGCTTCTTGACACTGTAAATTTTGAGAATAACCAGTGATCATGGAAGTGTACATGACAATATCACTTTGAATGGAGGTTTCAAACAATATTTTAGCTCGACCCATGTCGCCAAATTTAGCATACATATCAATGAGAGAGGCGGCTATAAAGTTGTTGCTTTCTATCCCAATTTTGATTACATGGACATGTATTTGTGTACCTTGATCAAGAGCGGATAAACCTGTACAAGCATTGATAACACTAGCAAAAGTGAAGCTATTGGGCTTTATATCTTCCTTTACCATCTCAATGAAAAGCTCGAGAGCTTCTTGGCCACGGCCATTTTGTGAGCACCCTGCAATTATCGAAGTCCACGAGACCTCGTCATGTTCTTTCATTGTATAGAAAACTGATTCTGCCATAGCCATGAATCCACATTTCGAGTACAAGTCAAGAAGGGCACTGGACAAGAAGAGGTTTTCTTTGTGACCCAATTTTACGATTTGAGTGTGGAGTTGCAGGCCTAGAGGGAGATTAAGCAGCTTCGAGCATGAATTGAGAACAGTGCAAAGCGTGTATTTGGTGTGTTTGATTCCAAAACTGTTGTTTTGGAAAAAAGATAGCAAAACTTGATCTGGTTCAGTTTTTTTGTCGAACAAATGGTGGGTATCCGATACTGTGGTATTATATGATTTTAAGGAGAGAGAAAAGTGGGTGCATGGCCATTGAATGTGAGAGAAAACATGGGAACCATGTCTTAACAATTCTGGTCTTAAAAGGAATTCACAGGAAGAGAGAGAAAGATGGCTGATGAGAGAGAGTGAGTGAGTTGTGTATGCAAATGAAGTTGATATTAGAAAGAAAGGATGAGAATATAAAGAAAGTGCGTACATGGAGATTTGGTGAGAGAGAGAAGATGAGTGCGATACTTGAACAACGTTGGTATGGAAAAGTAGGGATTCAATGATGAAAGAGAAGGCAAAAAGAGTATATGGGTTTGCCTTAGTTGTTTCTAATTCATACTATAGAGAGAGAGAGAGAGAGAGAGAGAGAGAGAGATGGTCTAGAAAAGCAGTGATCAAATGAATCGAGAAACCCCAATAGCAAAAGGTCGAATCTTATGGGTTCAAAAGAAGAAAGAGAGAGAGAGAGTCCCAATACCAAAAACGTAGGAAACACGAAAAGAGGAGAGAGAAAGGACTTCAACATTTTTGACAGGCTATTGTGTGTTTTGGGGGGGGGGGGATTTCGTCATTTCAATGGAAGTTTAGGTGAGTTTCAGTCACATTCACAAATACAATTGGACATTTCATATCTATGTGAAAGGATAAACACCCAATTTTTGTTGTGATTTCTATAGCCTAGCCATTCCACTCTCTCTCTAGCCAATCATATCTGCCCTCATGCACTACCTGTTGAAACGTAATGGATAATTTTGAATAAGATATTTATACTATGGTTCAAACCCACCTATTATATAGTCCACCTTTATTTTGGATCAGAAGAATTTCACCAAAGGATTCCAAATCTTTGTAGGTATTTGTGACCTTTTTTCTTGTCCTAAAACTTGGGTTCTCTTGAAAAGCCCATTTTCATGACAACAATGGTGAGTTAGGAGAGAAAGCCACCAGCTTATAAGCATTGGTTAATGACTTATTTACCACAAATTCATGTTGGGGTATGCTTAATTCTCACTGTTTTCGTTTTTGTTTTATGATTCAGTGTGAGTGGCTTCATGGGCATCTACAGTTTGAAATTATTAGTTATTCTTTTGTTGCTTCAGTATTAAATTGAGAATTTTTTTGGTCGACTTTTTTTTTTTTGATCAATGGAAGTTTTTGGTTCAAGTTGTGAGGAGAATAACTTTTCATCTTTCTTGGTGCAAGTGCTGACAGTTTGAAGTTATTAGTTGTTCTTTTGTTGCTTCTGTATTAAATTAAGAAATTTATTGGTTGATCTCTTTTTTTTTTGTTTTATTTTCTTCAATGGAATTTTTTGGTTGAAGTTGTGGGGATGATAAATTTTCAGGCTCTTTCTTGATGCAACAATGCTGACTGTTTGCTCAGCTGCCCCTGGCAGTTCACAATACCAGGTAATTCAACAACATTTCATGGTAGATCTCTCCATTGTCATGGATATGATTTTAGTGGAAACTCTGTATTTTTTTATTGATTAGAATGTATATTTTGTCTATTGTTAATTCTGTAATCTGCTTGAGTCAGTATGATGACCTGTGAAGGTCTCTGCCTGAAGTCTTAACGATTTGGTTTTGGACTAAGACTCTAACTACCAAAAAGAAAAATAACGAAAGAAATCTATAACAAAGTGGGATTTTTGCTCATGGGTCCTTTTTAATTCACTGTAGCCCATTCTTGCACCTTTACATAGAACAAGCAAGGGTTTTTGTTCTTACTTGGGAAAGAGAGAGTAGGCTGTGGGAGTTCGGTGCAGTTTCCTATGACGCCTAATTTGGTGGGAGCATTAATTTTCATCTCAAGTGTTTGCAAGCTTCTTGATCTTAATTTGTGCACAAAGTTCGTACAATCCTTGCAAAACTATCTCTTGTATTTTCATATTTATTTGTTTTCAGTGTAAGCACCTGAATTCTCTTATAATTTCCCTTACCCTTCCTCTCTCTCTCTCTCTCTCTCTCTCTCTCTCTCTCCCGTGTTAACTTGCCTTGCTTTTCTCTTGGCATGGTTTTATGCTTCATAAATTGGAATTTCTTTTGGCCCCAAGTATCTCAATACACTCCTATTCAATATTCATTTACTCGCACATTTTAATTCTAGAACTAATTCCATGACCCTCACATCTTTTGAATTCTGATTTTGCAGATCAATTGGTATGGTGGGCCAAGAACCTTTGCCCCGTGGAAGAAAACTGTTGTGTACAAATGCATCCTGGAAGAGGGGTTTCCCTATGGTGTAAGAAGTAGAACTCATACTTTGACAGATTTGTTAAAGACACATGCTGTAAGATTTGAGTGTGATCATGTTCTTGTGAGATCTGAACCATCAGCCTCAGTAAACTGCACAAACACTTTACTTAAAGATGCTATGAATTCAGATTTATCAGATTATTTACATGAATTTACATTCAAGCAAGCCTATAATTGGCCACAACCACCATATGATAGCTACTCATTGAGAGCAGTAGATGAATCATATCCTGTAGATGATGTGCCAGCATATGTAGAAGATACAACTATATCTGAACCAGTAGAATCTTTATCCTCTAATGGGGTAGAAAATGATATAGAAAATAATCTAAATGTTCAAGATGGTGTGGGAGAACCATCCATGTCCTCATCAATGGAGTCACAGTACAATTATCCTAATGGAAATGAGCTTCCAGATTCTCTTCCTCTACCTAGTCAAAATGGAATAGAAGTTTATTCTGAATCAAATGCTTCTGAATCTCTTCCTATAGAAAATGCAGAACAATATACATCTAAGATTCAAGAGTCAATGGACAGTTCAGTTGATAGGGCCACCGGTGCTATGAAGAACACATACAGTCATATCACTTCAACAATTGAGGACTCCATCAAGAATACAATGAAAACTGTCGAACATGCAATAAATGATATCATTTCCTCAGCTGATGACACGGGGAGACTTGTAAAGGGCAGATTTGTGGATTTCACAGGTGACGTCAAGGAAGGTGCTTCTAAGGCAGCAGACATGGCCATCATTTTCCTAAGACAAGGTGTAGTCGCTGTGGAGAATTCTTTAGCAAATGCTGCATCTTTTGTTGTTTATTCATATGGGTCTGCAAAGAATTTACTTCCATTAGAAACTCAGAATGCAGTAAATTCCTCCGAAGAAAAAGTTCAAGAAATCTTCAGCCCACTTGGGCCAGTTTTTCAACAGGTACAGTGTATTTGATCTCAAGACTAGGATTATGGATTAATATCTTGGCTTTGTTTGGTTAAACTGAAATGGACTTGGTGGCAGGCATCCATCTATTGGCCATCATAGCCTGATTTTCAATCCAAACCATACCAAAAATTGGAAATTGTTTTGTATAATGGATCGTTTAGATGTTCCTTCAAATTCCATATTCATTTCCTTTTTCTACTCTTGACATCCCAAGAACAGATTTTCCAATTTCTTATCCAAATTCTAAAATATTTTTTGTACCATGGCTAAAACTATTTAAATGATTAGTTCTTTCCCTGGCACAAAGCATTCACTTGGTACCGATGTTATTCATTTTTAGGTACAGCATTTTAGCTACAGATTACATATAGGGTGATAGTCTAATAATAGTGCGCACTATGAAACAGGTGCAACTTGCCATTGAAGGGTTAGAAAAAAGTCTTGGTCTGGACCCTAATGATCCAATTCTTCATTTTGTTCTGTTTCTTGGGAGTTCAGCTACTGTGGGGTATGGATCTCTTATTATACTTGCTACTTTATCCTTTTCTTCTCTTTTTTCTTATATTTTCAAATATTGTGTACTTTGTCCATCTCTCTCTTTCTATATAGAATGTGTGTGTGTGTTGTATTGATCCTTGTGTTGAATAAGTGGCACACAAATTGACGTTTCTTGTTCTTTGGTGAACCTGTGATGGTTCCATATTATCATTCTTAACTTTTCCATTATAGCTTTCCTGCAGAATTTCTTATTGGATCTTTAAGTATGGTGGATACTCTGGTGACTTGTCTCCTAAATTGGCCTTGGAGATGCTAGTGAAGGAGGACAGTGCTGTTCTTATTGATATCCGGTCTGAGGCAAGGGATTGTAAATTATTTTTGCTTTTCTAGTTTCTGTATGTAAGTTTTCTCTAGGTTAATTTCACTCTAGTAGTTTATGAGGAACAATGGATCTTTCAATCCTAAGAGCTTTCCCACTATAGGAATGCGAGGCAAAATAATTATTTAAGCATGATGCGTTGTATGTCATTCTGTAAGAATTTTGACTGAAGCTGTTACAATGTAAAAGGATGAGAAAGAGAGAGATGGTGTACCAGATCTTAGAAGAGGGGTCCGGTTCAGATATGCAAGTGTAAATATCCCAAAGGTTGGTTAAGATATATTTCATTTTTTTTTGCCCCTGTCTTTGGAATTCAATAATCAGGAGCACACAGTGACACACATACTCAAGTATGTATGTATGCGTGTGTGTGTGAAGTTGGGTTCAGTAAGTAACCAGTTTATTCTGGATTTGGTTCTTGTTTAAGGCTTTTCATTCATTCTTGTATGCAATTTACAGTATTTTTCCAGCAAGTGCAACTTGGTCTTTCAACTTATCTGTGATCTTATAGATTTATAATTTCATTATCTACTTTCATGGGTTTGTTCTTCTTTCATTTCTGGGCACCACTCAACTCATTATTGGTTCCACATGTTTTGTTCCTTCAGCATATTTAATTTATTCTACTTGATTTTTGTCTGCTGTATTCTTCAAATACATAATTTGCTCTGAGAAACATTGTTTCTGGTTAATCTTTATCACTAATCAGCTATTATGCTTTGTCATCTCAATTCCAGGTAGATGATACTTTGATGAAGGTTTTGAAGAACGGCAAAGAAATTAACTATGTTTTGGTTGCAGCTGTCATTAGAAATTTGAAATTAGTCAATGTATGTAACATAAACCTGTAATCTTTACATATGAATATTATACTGATAGTACATTTCCAATTATCTTAAGCAATGGATATGGATCCTTCTGTTCTCACACATGTAGGACAGCTCCAAGGTCATAGTCTTGGATGCAAATGGTTCTCATTCAAAAAGTGTTGCGAGATCCCTGAGGAGACTTGGTGTTAAGGCAAGTATCAATCAGCAAATTTCTTATTCTTTTTTCTTTTTGGGTAGATCAGTGGGGAAGGATACCCCTACCTGTGGTAGGAATGGAGCTCTAACAAGTCATGTTGGGGCACCATACCACCCTGACCACCTATACCTTGAGTCTATTCCTATTAGAAAATTTCTTTGTTTGATTGATAAGAATGAGCCTTGCACTTGACCACTGGATTAATATCAAAGAGGACAAAGATATGGTTTCTCTTTAGTATCATGCATATAGCTACTTATTATCAACATATTCAAGTTCGAAAGCTTGATTTCCTTAATGCGTCACAAAACACAAAGATCTTATCTGCTTCTTTTGATAACACAGAGGCCTTACCTTGTTCAAGGTGGTTTTATATCATGGGTCAAAGATGGTTTTCGTGTTAAAGATCTTAAAACTGTGACAGCGTTGACAATCTTGATTGAGGTAACTATAAAATTCACATCACCTTATAGAATATAGTTTTTATCTTTCAGTTCTGGATCCTCAAAGGTGTATATTTCAACTCCATGTAGTAGCTCATGCTACGACTAGAGCAAGCTTTTCCTTATCTATCAATAATGATAGTTCATTTAGTGATGAAGCTAGAACAATACTTTCTCTTATTTTAGGTTACATTTATGCAAAATCATGTTTTTAATGGGCATTTGATGCAGGAAACTGAGGAAATCATTGAGGATATCAAGCCAACCCCTGGGAAAATTATTGCATCTTCTGCGGTTAGACTACTTATACTTGCACTGTAGCTGTAATCAATTTAAGTTTGTTCTGATATCCTATTCTGGTTGTTGTTAATGGTTTATTCTTATTAAAATTTGTGAATGCACTTGTTCAATGAACAAAAAGAATCAAAGCTCAACCTGTTGAGCAGTTTTGGGAAGGCACATTTTCCCCAATGTCTTCCCAATGCAACTTGAGTCATCCACAATTGAAGCAGCAATAGCATGCCTTCATGCATGAACACACATGTATAGAGTAAGGTTTTATTTTTTCAGTTCAGTTGTATAGAGTCTTTTCTCTCATTTTCTATGTTTGACTTCAAAACTGCGCTTGCCTTCCAACTGAAACAATAAAATCACTTAATAGTTAAAACCTTAGTGTGAATGATGAATAATATGTTCTGGTTTGAATGTTTCTTAGGTTCTTTTATATGTAGTTAATATTTTATTGACGTAGTAATTATGTGGATCTCTTTATGCAGGCACTCATAGCTGCCATCTATGCTTTAGTGGGTGAGTATTCTGGCAACAACAATATCCATGTTTTGGAGAAAAAATTGGACCCTATATTTTTCCCCAATGAGATCGTTCCATCATCCATTGTGCACAGAAGACAGAAATATAAAAAGGGGAAGTTAGATTTTGACACTGTAGAAAACCAGATTTGGAATTTGAAAGCCTGTTGTTGTAGTCTCTTATCTTTACAAATTATTTTTTAACCCAAAAAACGTCTCATTTCTCTCATTATTCTTCTTTCTTACCTAAAAACTCTTTAAGTTGGTTATGTGGCTATTTTTGGAAAATATTGCTAATTGGGATACTTTTGGAAAGATTCAGTGTTTAGGTCATGTTTGAAGTCATTTTTTTTTTCTTTGCTCTTCATATGATTTTATTACTTTATAGAAAAACTCCCCTAAACACAAGATAATTGGAAAATTAGAAAAAAAAATGTGCTTGTTCTTTATAAGAATTACTTTTTGATCTTAAAATTTTTGCTGTCATGTAGAATGGGAGAAAACATTGCAATACATTGGCATTTTCGGTCTCGGACAGGTATACTGTATCAACTTGCCTTGTCTTTTCTGTGTTTCTTTTCCTTTGATTCTGTTTCCAGTTTTACAGTTATAAGTTCTTTACATCCTAATTTGTGCATTGACAATATGGGATTAAACTTCAGTTGGGTTTAAAGCTCTTTTTCAATAATGTGCCTGTAATCTTGAGCTTCAAGCCCGTGGCCTAATTGAGGGGTAAAGTACATCTAACCATGATGTTGTGAGTGGGTTCAAGCCCATAGATCAATTAGTCAGTGTTTTGAGTTGAAACCTTTAGTTTGTGAGTGGAGGCCCATAGATCACTTAGTGCCTGTTTTTTCTTAAAACCTTAAGGCTGTGAGTTGAAGCCCATGGCCCAATTGCAAGGTGCTTCTTGTTGCGCTTTCAAAGTTGTGCTCGGGCATATCTAAATTAGAAGAAAACTGATCTTGCAACCTTGAGGGTGTGGGTCTAAGAGATGGCACTATTTTTGGCAACCATGAGGTTGTGGGCTCAAGCGCATGGCTCAATTGGATTGTAGTTATTGTTGCAATCTCGAATTTATTGGTTTGAATATAGCTTACCATATTTTCTCTTATGGTGTTGGATTCAAATGCTCTCTTATGGTGTTGGATTCAAATGCTTTACCAGACCCTTTATAAACGGATTTCTTCATATGAGGATTCAGAAGATCTAAAGGAAGATTTGAGGTAATTTCCTCTTGTTTGTTACATGAGATTTACTATCATATTTATGATGCAAGTATTTTGTCACAGTAGAATTTCAAATTATAGAAAAACAAAAGATTGCCTTTTCAAGGGAAATCTCAGAAATGAGGCCTCTACAATTTGAGCCTCAAAATATGAATATGTTTTCGTAATACTTGAACCATGAATTTAATAGATCAAAGAGGAGCACATGTGCTTGAAGTACTTTTTTTTTGGGTTGTAAGAAACCTCACTATTTCTTATGAATCGTCTTGTATTTATTTTCCTAGCCTTATCATCATCATCATCCCTCGCTGGTGTATTTAGGTTGTTATTAACGCCTGTGAGAACTGGAGGCAAGGCATTTGCATGGGCAGTGGGGCAGCTCAAGCCCACCAAGATGAAATTGCCAATGTCCCCTTCGACAACAGCTGTCCAAACACGTGTTCTCCAAGCCGCCGCAAAGCATTCTTCACCTGTCGAACAGAGTACCCCCCCCTCAACTGAGAACTTGGACCCCAAAGAGGCATGAAATATTTTTTTGTTTCTTTCTCAAAATGAATTATTCTTCTTCTTTCTTGGAGAATATAAAATCACATAAATATTCCACTATGCAATTTAACATCATAGTTTCTTGTAGTGGTTTTCATTTGAAGCACAACGATGCTCCTCACAGTGAGTGTGGGACCAATGTGATGTTTATACCAGTGGATAATATGATATTCAAGCCCCCTCTCTGACACACACACATACATCCACACAAAAGCTTGTGAGCAAGGCTAGAAGCACAAACAGCAAGGAATGACCTTTTTCTCTCTCTCTCTCTCTCTCTCTCTCTCTCCACACAAAAGAATGACCTTGCTGAGTCAACTCGTGAAGACCTGGAAAAGCCCAAAAATCATGTGTTTCCTGAGTCTAGGTTCCTGTTGTTATTTCTCAGGAAATCGGCCAAGTCAGATCCTAGACTCGGTCACTTCTGTGACCACCTCAAGGTCGAGACCTTGACATGTCTCACCTGGAGACTTTTTAGACATTGCTCTTACTTGAAATAGGAAAAAGAGTAAACTGATAAGATCTCAACCAAAAGAAGTTTATGAATCCATGTATATTGTTATTGCCCAAGGTAAAATCGAGGACAAAATCATTGCTGGCTATGTTTTCTACTTTCTCCTATTTTTGCTTGGCTCTGAGGATTTATTCTTAATTATGTTTTCTTTAGATAGCAAAACATTGGGGTGAATAATTTTTACACTCAGAGCCATACCACCTTTTCAGTTTCCTTGATTTCAAAAGCATTTGAAGAGCAAACTTTCAACTCTGGCTACACATGAAGATGGGTATGATTTTTCAGTTTCAAAGCAATTTAAAGAGGCCTTGTAACTGAATTGAGTCTTTGTGTGATGCTGTATTCGATGTAACAAAACTTGTCTACCCCAACAAAAACAGGGAATGGGAGAGTGAAGACCCTATCACCTTTCATTTTTACAAATGGACCCATGCATTTGTATCGTGGGCTTTAGGTATTTTTTAATTTTTTTAATTATATATACATGGTTTGGGTTCTAGGGAAAGTTGCACAATAATTAATTATATTTTTTAAATTTAAAAAAACGTTGGTTTGGCCTCATTGAGGGTATGACCTTTAATAGAGCAGTATGACGGATCATGATTCATGTAGCCGATCTCAATTTGTTGAGAAAAAGCTTTGATGATGGCGATAATATTCATAATCTAAAAAAAATATAGAAGTACTAAGTACAAAATCACACTGGTGTTAATAATTTTTGTCATTTCACTTGTATGAATGATATTCCTTGGTGGAAAGCATACTGTAATATGTTAAGAATCGTGCTTGAGATTGAGTTATTAGTTTTTCACAATTGGAAGACTACGTCTCAAGTTCGATTCCTACCTGTGAACTGCTCAACGAAATACAACTATCTGTTTTACCACAAAAGAAATCTATGGTCACGATGTCGTCATCATTGTCCAATAAATGGATGGACAGCAAAGGATGGAGACTGAGGAGAGGGGAACCACTAGTTGGGCTATGTCATGTTATTGTGGATCCCACTCCATCTGCCTTGCTGTCCAACTACTGGTTGGACTTTATTGGCATGACCTTAGATTTTCTATGGTCATATGGATCATATAAGTACACGTCCCCTCTTCTTTTAAACACAACAATTTTTAACGATACAATTACTTCTAAGGTATAAATGTTAGCACTTAGTAGCAACAGGCATATACTGTGCATGTTGCATATATCGTCGGTGCATATTCATGATTGTAAGTAGAGTGCGAGAGAAATTGTCAATCGATAGAGATACCAAGGTTCATGGCACTCATGCCAAAGTTTTCTCTAATTAAACAATGATTATATGTTCCTCTATTTTATTTTATATAATATTATATTTAATAATTTAAAAAATAATATATAATATAATACTTACCATATTATTATAAAAAATTACTATTATAACAATATTACGAGCTTTGAGCTTTGAAGCTTCTCACTCTCTCTAAGCTTCGAACTTTGAAGCCTCTCTCTTGGTTCGTTTTTAATATTTAAAGTTTCCCTCCCTCTTTTTTTTCATTTTTTTAATGTTTAAAGCCTCCTTCACTCTTTCTTTTCATTTTTTTTAATGTTTAAAGCCTCCCTCACTCTTCTTCTTTTCTTTCTTTCCAATGTTAAAAGCCTCTCTCTTTTTTCATTATTGAATTTTAAAGTAAAAAAATTACATAAAATAATTAACAAGGAAGTCACAATTACTTATAACCATCCGATGTGAAATCTAAAATGTGCCACAAAATTCGAAAAAATTTCTTTTGAAGTTTGAGCTTGACACAAAGGCAACCACCCAATTTCACATCCAATGGTCAAGATTAATTATAATCATCTTGTACAAAAGATATATGGTCTCATTGTATAACCATCCCTCTTTTGGGGCCGAAACAACCTAGGTCCTCTTTTTTTTTTTGTTCTTGTTCTTGCACTGATCACGCTGACACCATATATAATTTGTAAGTTGACAGTACAAAGTTTGGTGATAGGATTCCTTGGCCATCTTTCACCCCTCATCTGTGCCATGCTATTTCACCAGATCATCTGTGTCATGCTTTTTTCACCAGATCACTCTCTCTACCAGACTTATTTATCACGTATATCTCTCTCTCTTATATTCTTGTGAATACAAAATTACAAATAAACAAAAATAAAATACAAAAAAAACTGTACAAATGGTAATATCCTGCTCTCACTTCTCATTCCATGCGTGGTGAATGAAAAGACTTTTCTCTCTCTCTCATACACATACAACTCCAAGCTTTCTAATGCCGATTCCATGTGCTTAGCCAAGAGCTACATGAGAGAGAGATAGAGAGAGATGCATGTACACGCCAGGAAGGAATTCTCCCTCCCTCCTCTTTCTCTCTTCCTTTTGAGGTAGATAATTCTTTCACTATTTTACCTCATTCCTTTTCTGCAATTACAACAAAAACATCCTTGCCTGACCATCTCCTTCGAACTTCTTTGGAGGTTGGGTTAATGATTGCACGCTCAGCCGAGGCAAGACGGTAACCGATAACAATCTCTTTCCTTTGTCGTGCTCGCAACATTATTTCATAAAAGCTCAATTCCTCTTCTTCACGAACATAAAGATCTGCATGCCGTAGCTGCATCTCATTTCCCTGATCACAAACATAGCAAAATGGTTTAAACCAGTACAATTCTAGATATTACAATTCTCTAGTGTTCCAAAAAACGCTGGGTGTCACCTAGGCAGCCGAGGTCTAGGCCGCCCAAGTTCATAAGGGGGCAAGAAGTGCCCCCTTTAATATAAAGAACATATTCATGCATTTTTTAATGATCCAAATAAAAAAAAAACCAGAAATACCCCATTCGATGGGTATCTTTTCACCTAGGGGGGCACAGTACCTTGGGCTCCTGCCCATTTACCTTGAGCAACCGCCTAGGCAAGGTAGGCAGGCGCCCACTCCTAGGCATGGGCGATGCAGCCAGGTCCCTAGCCTGTCTAAGCAACCGCCTAGGTGCTGGGCAGACAGGTTTTTAAATCAATGCTCTCTCTGTCTCTCTCTCACACACACCGTACAAAAACACACACATGAACAGCCATGCATACACAGAGCAGAAAACATTTTATACCCTAAATCGCATAACAGTCACATGAACAATACAATCCTTTCTAAACATTACACTGAACCATTCACTCAAACAAAGCAAAACAGCACATAAAAGTCTCTCTATCAGTAGAAATTTTTAAACCACACTCTCTTGCTGTCTCTCTCTCTCACACACACACATGCATGTGTGCCCGCACTATCATAAAAGCAGAGGAAAGCAGCACATATAACTCGTCTAAACTTTGAACTCTCTCTCTCTCTCTCTCTCTCTCATACGCACAACAAAGCAAAACAGGAGACTGCAAAAGTTACCTCCTCAGCAAAGAGCTCCTCTAGAACTTTGTTCACTTGGCGGTCTTCAGCAACCATTGCAAGTGCCATGCTGACGAGCTCATTTGATAAAACATAGTCACTGATTCTTGACATGCAAAGTAAATTCTTAGTCCTGGGGTCAAGAATCTCGCTTATAATCACTGAATTATCTGAAGCCTGCTGCATCTCTCCGATCCATGAACTTTGAAAATGGCTCCCCCTGCTGTTAGCATGGGTGGGCATGGATTCTCTAAAAGGGAGGCGCCTTGCCTGCAAAGAATAGGTAAAACATATGAACATTGAATTTACTAGTGGTGTCTACATTTATCCTGGATTATCTCTCTCTCCCCCCTCCCTTGAGTATGCATATAACACATGAATTTGTCAAAATCAAAGCATAGCCAGCCGTAGGATCAGAAAATGAAAAGAGCTTTGCAAACCTCAAAAATTAATCATGTCGTTTTTGTCATTATGAAGAAAAGGAATGGCTTTCAGAGAGTGTCACTTATACAATTCTGATTTCAGAGTTCATAATGGGGACAAAGCTTAGAATATATGTCTGAATAGTATTAATGGTTTAAGTTTCTTTGTGCACGTGTATGTGTTTTTTCTTTTTTTGTTTTGGGGTGGGGGGGGAGGAGCACATTTGTTACAGTACTCACCACAGCATCATGTCAACCAAATGGGAAAAAAGAAAGAAAAGTAGCCCAAAAAAGTTCCAAATACAGATCTAATGCTGGTTAAAATGTCAAATCAAATACCTGAATATCTCGGATAAGCAACAATGTAGCAAGGGATCGTGAGTCAGCTTGAATTGCGGAGTCCTCCACAGATTCATCAGCAAGAATCAAAATCTGTGCCCAAAACACATCCTCACCCATTCAGTGTGTGCCGCAATGATTGTTACCCTCTCTTGATGTAATAATATACTATCGTCATATGCTTCTCTCTAAACCAATCAGAGAATATAGAGGAGATGAGAACATAAATTCGTAGAAATTAAATTTAAGGGCAGTTAATTTATTATAGTAATAAAACACATTGACTGCATAACAAGAGAAACCAATAATATCAAAACAAAGGAATGGTGAAAAAAATACTATAATGGAGAAATCCTCACTGACAGAATCAAATGTCTCCAATGGAAGGCTCTCCAAATGGCGACGAATCACAGCATTTCCTTCGCGGTGAACAAGTGATATATTTTCCAACCGATTAATGTCAAGACCCCCATCAATAAGTTTTTTCTCCCTCTCTTTCTCTGGAACATCATTGAACATCCATAATTCTGAGCCAGGTGCTAGAAAGGCATCCAAGACCTAAAAAAAGTGACAAGTTGTGATATGCCTTCAGTAATACCATTCATAGAATATATAAAAAATAAGACTTCTCACTAGAGCAAAACTTCAAGGGCATGCCATTGCACATATGCACATCATTCTGACAGGATATGGAGCGAAACACATATGAAAAAGATAACAGAGAAAATGCTCATTAGAAATGCCAAGCATTGGTTAAAAAGATATTTGATACAAGCATTACTGTTTGTTAGTTTATATGCATCAGTTCCATGGGAAAGATGGCAAAGATCAATGGGAAAAAGGATAAAATCCCAATATATACAACCATGAGCAAAACTTTTCTCGAGGACAAAGTTAATGCATCTAGCAATCGTGTAGCAAGAAAAATACTTGAAGCACTCAACAAGTCATTCTTCATATGGATAGTGCCAAAATAATATAATAAAATTACCATAATCATATACTTCTACTGTAATCAATAAGTCACTCTCCAGAGTTTTTTTTTTTTTTTGAGAATATTCACTTGTTAGTCATTATCCAGAGTATTTTTCACAAGCAAGACATGCATTGGTGTTAGTAGACCTAATTACGTTACCATAATCATATCCTCCATATCTCGGCGCCAACCACAATAAAGTATTCTTTCTGGTAATTTGGGAGCACTGAAATCTTTCGGTAGGGATCCTCTCCAAACCTGCAGCATGGAGGCAAAGAAGAGGATACGTTAGGGGCACAGAAAGCAAGATCTTACCACAATCATATCATCAACGTCCCGCCTCCATCCACAAAGTAGAATCTTCTGTGGCTTTCTTGGTGGCCGAGTAACATCTATGAATGATGCTTCCTTGACCTGAATTATCAAATCGATGAATTTTTTTTGTAAGTCCTAATTGAGTCACATTTATTCTAATTAAACTTGAGGAGGGATCATCCTAAATGAATCTAAATTGTAGGAATCTGCATTTTATGACTGGATATCCCATTATAGCTGGCGTTTTTTATTTCATATTTTAGTTTCAAGCACAAAAATTCAAACAGATGGATAATATGTCAGTGGCCACACTCACATGCATGCAAATGCCCACACATATAGAAAAAGAGATGGGTTGGAGGGAGAATCCTTAACTTGTGGCCTGTTCACTAATCAAACAATTATTTTCTTACAACATGAACTATCAATTCTCAGAAGACCTACATGTGCTGAAATAATGAATTTGAACGAATATAGAGCGGATCGTAATTGAACTTCATTTGTATGCTCAACACAATGATTCCTTTGGAATGGGATTATACAGGTGCTTAGCTAAGAACATCTAGTCTCCCTCTGATTATAGTAGATAAATCAGATTATGGGAAATTTTAAGACAATTTGTGCAATTAGACACACACACATATATATATACACATGAGAGAGAGAGAGAGAGAGAGAGAGAGAGAGAGAGAGAGAGAGAGCACCAAACCCTTTGTGAAGATGCTCAATTATCCATTACTCTAGAAAAATACTTTATGGCTAGTCAATTCACCTCAACTCTCCACAACAATGGTCAATGAGACAATCCACTCCTTGTTTCACGATCATGTTTCAACATGTGTGGACGTGTCATCAACACATTTGCCATATGTGTCTGGTAACATATGGCTCATGAAGTACTTATCAACTAAGACATGGTGTACCGCTTCTCTATAATTGAAAGAAGTCGTCAAACCTGATTTGTAAACCAGCAAGGAACTTGAAAGTTAGATGGCTTAAATAGACCATATGGATCTACCACGTGGGCCATCACTCGCTATTTACTAAAACAATGGAAAATATATATTAGAGTTTAGAATGTTAATAGAATAATATTAAAATAAGAATGTAACGCCTGTGGGTCTTGAAGTTCGTGCATGTCTCTTTAATATAGATAAATGCCTGAGAATGCATTATTGTTGTAAAAAGCACATTTAGCATTTATTACAATAGTATAAAAAATTTAAAAGTATCACAGGACTGCAAAAAGGAAATCCTGTGTTTATTCATATGAAATGCATGTTATTATCATATTATATAATCCCACACGAACTCAAAATTAATATAGTCCCACAGAGCCACAGTATTAACATAGTCCCACACAGACTAAAAATTTATTAGTCCCATAGGACCACACGGGCTCAAAATACTATCTCTAAAATTTACATGTGGCTTATATTATATTTATCTAAAATATAAACTACCAAGGAATTTGGGCTTGCACTCTTCCAGAATAAATACCATGGTTCTACCACTACAACTATCAAAGAAGTGTAACATTCGTAATGCAAAATATTATTAGTAATAAAGTTTAAATAGTGTCGTTTAAATAAAAGAATAGAAATAAATATAGTTTTATTTTCTTAAAATGAATTTATATTTTTAAATTTATATTTTTGAGCTTTTAAATTTCATTTATTATTTTTTAGATTCTTTTATGATTCATGTAAATACTAAAATTATGTAAAAAGATGTACTAGTGTATAAGGAATATGGGCTTGCACTCTTCCAAATAAATACCATGGTTCTACCACTAGAACTATCAAAGATGTGTAACATACATAATGCAAAATATTATTACTAATAAGGTATAAAAAGCATCATTTAACAAAAGAATAGAAATAAAAATAGTTTCATTTTCTTTTAAAATAAATTTATATTTTTGAGCTTTTAAATTTCATTTATTATTTTTGAGATTCTTTTATGATTCATGTAAATACTAAAATTATATGTAAAAAGATGTACGAATGTGTAAGGGCCATACTGGGTTTTTAGGCCAAACCACTAAACACTAGAGACACGTATTCCACACAACACCCTTGTTAAGGAATAATATGAAATGGGAAAAAATTGGAATAGAAGATCTAGCGGCACTACCAATATGTCATTCTCTCAGATAGGTAGACCACTAAATTAGGTGACCATACCCTTCATTGCTCCTTTGCAAGATAGAGTAAGCAAAGTACTACTCCCTGAAATATACCATAACACAATAAAAAGATCACAACTTCAACACATGACACAAGATGGCATCAAAATTTTGATTGCAAACCGTAGTATCTAAGCAAAACATCCATAACTTTTATGAACTCCAACAAGCACAATAAACACATGGGTAAACTTGTCCTTCCCTCCTGTCAGTCTAGTCTGAGAGAGAGAGAGAGGTAAGAGCGCTTTCTCCTCCCTATGGCCTAGAAGCATGCATACTAGAAAGGGGTCTAGAGAGAACTTCAGCATATGAACAGCCATTATAGGTGTCTGATACTTCCCATGTATAAAAAGGATGGCCATGGAACCTACATTAGGGACCATTTTTTTTTTCTGTGTACTTTGGTCAATATCCAAATCTAAATGCAGCTATATAAGTAAAGGTTGGGCCATTGGCATCCAAGGCATGGAGTCAAATGGATTTCCAACAATCACTACATTTCTTTTTGATAACATTAAACATTCATGAAAAGATCATATTTTCATTTGACTGAAGACAACCATGAAAGTCGATAAAAAAATTGGTTCTCCAGCCAACTAGCCAGGTACACACATGTTCAATAAACACCATTCATCATCATCATCGTCAAAGCCTTTTCCCAACTAATTGGGGTCGGCTACACGAATCTTGGTCCGCCATTCTGCTCTATTAAAGGTCATACCCTCAGTGAGGCGATAAGTCCCTATATCTTTTCTCACTACTTCCAACCATGTCTTTTTGAGACTACCCCTTGCTCTTTTTGAACCTTCCACTTGAACTAACTTGCGATTCCTAACAGGTACCAGGTCTGCGCTGCACATGGTCAATCCACATAAGTCTACTCTCTCTCATCTTATCGCCTATTGGTGCCATACTTAAATTTTCCCGAACGTATTTATTTTGAATTCTATCCATTCTTGTCTCGCTACTCATCCATCTCAACATCCTCATCTCCGCTACACTCTTTCTATGGGTATATTGTTTTTTGACTACCCACATTCCGTCCTATAGAGCAAAGCTGGTCTACTGGCTGTCCTATAGAACTTGCCTTTTAGGTTCATTGGTATCCGGCGATCACATAAATTCCAGTTGCACATCTCCACTTGCCCACCCAACTCTAATTCTATGCGTGACATCTTCCTCAATCTCTCTATTTCCTAGATTATCGACCCAAGATTAATGAAACACAATATGTCTCTAAATATTAAAGTGTCACGTGTGACACTCAATAACCCAAACAAGATAGCTTTAAACATTTAATATGACATTTTTAATGATTACAAAGCTGCTCAAAGCATAAGAACCTAATTATCTAGCTTTGTTATTCTCAATTTAGAAAACAAAGAGAGCATATGGAAGACCAATTACAACCTCATGCAGTGGATGACAAAAGAAAACAATGGAAATGTACTATGAATTTTGTACGATCACCTGTGGTAAGGTCGTGGGAGCATAGGTATCATCATCCTCTGCTATGACGAGAACTTCATCTCCCTCTTGCAAAACATAGCCATCATATGGATTTAAAAAGATCTTTCCACCATTGGATGCCACCTTAATGCCACAAGGAATGGCATCAGGAAAACTAATTAATACATCATCAAACTGCATACCCACCAATTGTGGCCATCTTTTAATGTAGAATTCACAATTTTCAAAACCAAGAATATCTTCCCATATCTGAGAAAAAAGTCACATCATTTAAACAAAGTTAATTTCTATGATTACTATAACATGGGCAGATTGATATCATGCTATATGAAAAGCAACGAACTCGATTAAAAACTCTGCTGCAAAAAGTAACTCAAAACTTATATCATTTGTTGCACCTTGGAACCAATTATTTGAAAGAAAATGAAACAAATGAGAGCAACACTTTTTTCATAAGGAAAATCCAAAAAAAATCATTATAAGAATTAAATGGATTAGGTTAGGGTGCATCCCAAGCTGCACGCATCCCCCCTTCCAAGATCCATCTTGGAGATGGATTGAGGATCCAAAACTACTATTGACTCCATAATCATGGATCTGAAAAATAAAATAATTTTGAGCCTTTTAACTGGTACAAGATGAATGGCCAATCTTGAACCATTTTTTTGGGACCATCAATTTCAAGTTTTTAAAGATCATCGAATCTGCATCATTCTCCAAATTCAAAAGTTTGAGGGGAAAATGGATTTGCGGAGGTTTATTTGCAGAGTTTGGGAGGTTTTCGGGTCTTAAATCCATTGAAAACCAAGGGGACGCATGTATCTGAGGACACAAACTTTCCAAATTTAATAGCAAATATTAACTTGGAATGATTATCAATCTTCTACTGCATTTGAATGAAATGTTACATTCATCCACAGGAAATATTATGTCAAGTGTCTAGAAAATATATAAACTTAAACACAATCATAGGGAATGTTACTTAGGTAGTGCCCAAGAAATGTTGTTTCGTAACCTCATAAACATGTAATCACTAGCCCGTTATAAAGCTCAAAGAAATATTTTCGAACAAGATCCATCAAAGCCGCTGATTCCTCAACTATCACAGAAATAAAAATAAAACAATAGGATTGAGCTCGGACTTGATTAATTAATTTGTTAGTGATAGCAACACTACATCCCAGGTCTGAATCCTACTGCTGAAGTGCCCAAAAAATAAAATCACCTTCTTCCTTTTGCCACAATATCTGAAGAATCATTGGCTTGGTTAGAAAACTGCCAAAAGTAAAAAATTCACAATTTCAAAAAATTTGGAATGCTTGCTACTAATTATCCAACACATTTTCTTAAGAATTCGTTTGAAGATGTCATAATAAAAAGTTGGAGACTAGTACGGATTCAGTAATTATAAAAAGAGAATGGAACATTATATTGAAGGCCTTTTCCAGAAACAAGATCTTCTGGTTTTGCACAATTCACTTACAATTTACCTGTAACCTTCATAATGATTTCGTCTAATAACAAACAACTATATAATCACACTCTCCAAAAAACAAAGACCATAAGATTTTCCAACACTCGCTGAAGAAGTGTCTTTAAATTAGTTAAATTGCATTAAAGAGCTGTTAGCAATTGCAACATTACATCCCGATTTTGAATTCTACTGCTGAACTATCGACTAGAAAAGCAACAAGATGTTACAAGTGAAGAACTTCCGATTACAACTTCATTATAAACACTTAATGATCACTATCTACCATTTTGCTCTATACTTCCAATTCTCAAAAAAATACAATGAATGAAAATGAATTTGGAGTTAAATATAAAACAACAAAAACCCCAATAGCATAGGATGGAATTCAAGGAATTGGTGAATAATATAAACAAAGAAAAAGGTTTGAGTGATTCAAAGTTCACCTGAGCAAGGCCAGGCTGTCGAGCACATTGAATCATCAAGCGACCAATAACATCATGGGCAACAACTGTTTCAACAAGATCTCCACCAACAAGCTTAACTAGGAGCTCATTGTCAAGATCACTCAATTCAACCACTATATGTCCTCTCAAACCGTCCTTAACTCCAGTTAAACTTAAAACTGTTCTCAGAGCTCGTGCGTCGGACTGTATATGATCACTTATAAATTTAGTAATGCATTATTTCTCCTCATGAAAAAGAACACATCGGTTCAGAAGAAAAGAATTACCTGGTCTGCATTCCCATCTTCAGCAAGTACAACAATAGCTCGAGCTTTAGAAACCGATACCTATGAAAAACATGATATGGTGACATACAAGAAGAAGGCATCCCAACAAGAGACTTCTAAATGGACGGTCAAATAATTGCTTTTGAAGGTTTATATTAAGACCATATGATGCCAAGGATGTTGCAACAAAAGTCGAATTTGAACTTGGAATTCAATGCATTATAGAAATTTAGGTCCTGGACATCTGACACAAGGAAATAAATATGATAATCTGAATTTCCCAAATTCAAAACTGCACATGCAAGATAACCAGGGGCACATAATTTAATCATGCACTATAGAATGTGTTAACAGTCAAATAATACTTTTCTTTCACAGGTGCTAATACGAGAAGCAACCCCATGTAGTATATCCAAAAGTTCAAAAAGAAAAGGTATAATTTAAAAAGTATTTTTATACCAAGAATATATGGTTTCCCTATCATCTTGTTTATAACACCAATTACTGATTAAGGAACCAGGAATAACCAACTCTGAAAAGGGATCATACAACAGTATCAGCCTAGAAAATGCTTCTTATGAAGAACACTAACCTAAATTGTCACCGCAGAGTTGTCTTAAGACAACATATAAAAAAGGCAGAAATAACAAACAATAATATTTACAGCACCAATAAAAAACTGCCAATTACGCATGCTTAAACAAGTAGAAGAATCTCAGGCGACAAGATAGAACAAGGAAGTACAAAGCTGTGAATTCTATTTGGTTTCCCACAAGGTCAGAGCGAACCTTTTTCAAGTCAGCAATAATCAAGGGGCTTCCACTTCTGCAAATGACAGATGTCCCCTTGAAATCAAATTCCATTTTAGCAATATCAAGCTCCATTTCTTCTTTGTCACGTTCTGCCAAGACTACTACCATGCCTCCACCAAGGCTCTCATTTGCTATAGCAAGCTGATTTAACAATGAGCCCTGAAATAGAACAAAAAATGAAAACACTAGTGGACCATGAAAAAGTAAGTCCTTGCATAACCATGTGTGATAGTGATACAAATTATTATATCCCATTTTAGCATATAATACTAGCACACTCCCGATTCGAAAATATATATTGGCATATATACCTCAATTCTCAAAATAATATCATGAAATATAAGCTACAGAACAGCAAAATTTGAAAGAAAATAAGTCCTCCCTATTCACTAATAAATTTCTCCTCTCTTTGTGGCACATTTAAGTTGGGTCCCAAGTTTTAGAATATGATGATATCGATAAAGTCATTATCACAAATTGGAAGGGAAATGCCATAAGCATTTCAACGTTAAACATCATCCATAACTCCAACCTGTATTATAATAGAAGAAACACAGTTTTTTATTAACTAAACCAATTAACACTGCTCAAATAGCTAATAAGCATCACGCAGAAGAACTTAAAATTTGTTGCTTTCATATTAAGAATCTAATATAACATCATATGACACCTTATCTCTGTGCATCTTTTCCTCTTTCTGCAGTCATAATGGGGTGTTAAAATAGTAAAAGATTAATGTACAAAGAAAAGCAATGTCTAGGCGTACCAACTTGTCACTCCATCCAAGAATGAGGGTATGGTTCTTCTCAATCACTTCACTTCTACCCTTCCTTAGTGAATCAAACTTCTCAGAGATTGAATCAGAGACAAGTCCTAGCATCATGGCAAATATAAGCATTCCACCAAAGCTTATGGAGATCGATACAAACTTTGGGCCAAACCCAACAGAACTTGTATGGTTTCCAGAGTCTGCTACATATGTCCAAGACAGCCATAAGCAATCCCATAAATTGTCATCAGTTACACCAAAAAGAGCCAACCCACCAAGGCAAATAAGCAATAATGTGGCAACTAAAAGGGCCAGAGGCTTAGCATATGGATGAACTGATAAGGCGACATCAATATGATAAGCTAGCTGCTTGCTTAAAGAAACTTCCTCCAAAGTTTTATTATTGTCATTTGATCTTCTTGATCTTGGAAGGCAATCCACATACTTGGCAAAAATAAAAATGATCAACAAAAACCCAAATGCCACAACTAGAGAAAAAAACTTAAAACTTCTCTCCAATATAAGGGCATTTTCTGGTGGGTTTCCCTCATCGAGGCTAACGAATGTTGATATATCGCATGCTTGAAGTTTCGCATTGAGCATGTGGATTTGATCCTGCAGAAGAAAATACTTGTTAAGCCTATTCAAGTAATTCATTGTGAAACTTGCAAGCCTCGTCAATCAATAATGCACCTCCCTCCCTCTCTCGTTCTCTCTCTCACACACACATGAATCAGTGTGAAAAATGTGTTTCTTAAATTGGTAAATTAAATTCTAATTATTAGCACCAAACTCACCTGTAAATTTTTCACTTGATCGCGTAAGGAAAATTTGTTGTGTAGAAGGGTACATAAACATGAAATGAGAACCTGATTCCAATCATCAATTCAAAATTCTCAGCAGCTTCATATATCATTTTGACCAATTATATGTAATGTGCTAGTGATGATCATAATTCAATATTGAAAACATATGACGAAAGTTGGTACACCATAACATTCGCATCCATGGCAAATGGGGAGATTCAGAGAAAAGTATGGTTTTACGACAAACAAGTATAATTGGCGATCAAGATATCGACTGCATTGTCAGTATATGGAGTACCCAAGTATAGAATTTTTTAGTACAAATCGAAATTTTGGAAACAAAAAGAATTATGATAGATAGGTCGTAGAAGTATAGCATGACCATGAATTACATTTTTGAGAGAGAATCTTTTTTTTTTTTCCTCTATTTTTGTGGGACATAAAGCTGATTTCTTTCGAAATGTTTAGGTATGGCAAATCAGGATTGTCGATTAATTACACAAAAAGAGAAGAGAGAGAGAGCCCATAAAAATTCATGCTTTTCTTTTTTATCTTTCTTGGTTTGAAGCCCATGACGTGGGGGCATGTAAGAAAGTATTTAACAAAACAAGGTTGATTTATTGTAATTAAGCAGTTGCATCACTTAACTGAACCAGAATTGGCTCCGTTTTACTCCCTCAGCTAATAGGGGTGACAACGGGTCTAGTCAGGTCCTGGTACTCGATCCCAACCCGGATTTGGACCCAACCCAAAAATATAATGTGGGATCCGAAGTCAACCCAAAAATTACAATATCTATATATTCAACTATATTTAAACATATTTCAGGATCCAAAAATAATACCGGACCTGAATAGTATTCAAATCCAAGATTTGAACCTAAACCCTATCCGTGGGGTCCAATTTTTTAACTCGTACCCAGACCTATATGGGTCAGGTCCACTTCCATTGCCAACCCTCAATAATTACCAATGACGAAAACACCCCTGTGTTTGCGCAGCTAAAAAAATACCCTTTTGCGTCCGTCTCCCAAACATTCGTAAACCACCCCTGCCCTCGTGTGCAAATTTCCATTTTAGCCTGTCGAAGCTCGAAAACCACAAACCAGGCCTAGAAAACTGCTTACCGGAAAAGCCACCGTCCAAATCCGCCCTTTGAACGACTCCATAGACGATTTCCGGTTTTCCATCGACGCAACTGGTTTTTCCGGCGGCAATTTCTGCTTTTCTCTCGAAGAAAGAGCCGGTTTTGCAGTTTCACGCCGGTGAGTGTAAAATTCTGCCTTTTTTCTTCCATCAGATCGAGGAATCGACGGTTCAAAAGAGGAAAAGCTTTTCCTCTCATAATAGGGCCTCGTTACAGTCCTCTGAGACCTGTTCTGTGCATAATTCGATCCAGTTAGGGTTTTGTTTGAGTAGGCCTTTCTCGAAGAAGAGCTAGGGTTTAGGGTTTTGAACGACTGATTAGGGTTAGAGTGAAAGAAAGAGGAAGAAGGGAAGAACCAGTCTCTGTTATTGGAGGGCTCATTGTATTGAGAATTCTCTGGTTCAGATGTCATGGGTTCAGAGAAAAATGTCAGGTTTTTCAAATTAGGGTTTTCATCTCCTTTACCATTAGGAGATTATGATTTTCATGGATCATATGCAGAGAAGAATTCCATTTCTTCTGTGGAAAAATTCAAGTTTGTTAGGGTTCAAATGTGGAGGGTTTTTTTAGGGTCTTAATGGATGAAACATGGTTGTTTTTTCTCGAGCATTTTTTTTGAAGTTAAGTTAGAAGAATCTTCTAAGGAGGCTTACTTTTATTTTTATATATTTTTAAATGTATTGTTTCCATTAATAAATGGCTTTGGATTAAGACATGGTTAAACCTTGTGATGTCATTGCTCCTTTATTCACAGGAAAGTGTTTTTGCTCTTAACTCCAAGAAATTCAAAAAAAAATTATATTTATTAAATATATATTTAGTTTAAAAATAGGATGTTGATATGTGGTAAGACAAGAAAAAATTATATTTATTAAATATATGTTTAGTTTAAAAACAATAAATAAAATTTATTAAGGATGTTGATATGGATAAGTCGTAAGACAATAAGAGATAAAATTCAAAATAAATACATTCAAAATATTCAAAATAAATACATTCGAAATACCTTAGATGTGATTCCAATTGTCGATGAGATGAGATAATTAAAACAACCATAATCCGCTGTACTTGGATTTGTTAGAGAACTTTTGTTAAAGTTCTATTTTAAGATGCCCATTGGTGGAGGCTTTTAGGTTCCAATCATAATCAGTGTTTTAAAATCTGAAATTGGGTAAAAAAAAAAACTACTCTAATCAGTGTTTTAAAACGTTGTCGACAATCACCAATTTTGGGTTGGATGATTTGTCAATATTTTGATCAAACAATTAATTAAATAATTATGTGTACCAATTATAGAGGAAACTCTGATTGCCCACGGACCAAACCTGACCTAGGTGACTCCTGCTCCTTAACGCTAAGTTTAAAACATTGATTGTAAAGGCTGACAATGGGCCGAGCCAGCCTAGCCCTAGTTCGACCCTGGTCTTAGCTTACCTGAGTCTAACTTGGCCTAGCCAAGGTTGAAGAGAGGTTCTACCCTAGTGTTGTTCAGATTGGACCGAGCCTACTATACTCTAAAGGCGGTGGGGGTGGTGGTGGGGGTGGCGGTGGCGGTGGCGGAGGCGGGGGTGAAGATAAAAATAAAGGGGTTGGGCTAGATTGACCCTATCATTGCCCTAGGCTAGGTTGACCCTTTCATGGCCCTGGCCTGGCTTTGAGCTATTGTAGCCCGGCCATCATGCCACATTTTGCAGCAAAGGGTTTAGTTTTTTAATATTCTATGTGCTTGGAAAAGATAACCCCTTAGGATTGAATATCAATACTCCAATTTTCTAAGGTCAAGATCCAAGCAATGAATTCAAAATTTAATTTTTTTGCTAGAATAATATCTCAATGATTATGAGATTGGTCTCAGGATTTTAGATAAAAAAAAAAAACCACCAAAGTAGTAGTCTTAGCCATAATAATTATGATCATACCAAACCGTTTGGAACACTTATAGGTGTCTAGACCAGTCCGATCCACCGCAAAAAAAACCGAGTTCAATAAAAAAATTGGTCCAAACTAGTCTTTGAACAGTTCAACCAGTGAGTTTCGACTAGTTCAATTGACCAAACAAAATGGGCAACTTTTATTTTATAATATAACATTATAAAATACTGTTAAAATCTAGTCCAATCGATTATAGCAATGGTCATACCAATTTCTATTTAAACATATATTTCATCAGTTCAAGATTATATCAGTTATAGAATCCCCCTTTCCTACTGGGTGGATAAAGCTCAACTTTGATGATAGTGTCAGGGACGATAGAAGGGCGGGCGGGCTATGGGGTGATCCTTAGGAATCATGAGGAGGAGATTATTTGGACCTTGAATGGGGTCGTTCCACATTGTTAAGCAATTGAAGCTAAGCTCTTTAGTTTGAAGCATGAAGTGGCTAATTTAACTTATGTGTTTTCATTTTTCCCCTACTTGCTCACCTTTTTCATTTTTTTTTTCTCTCTCTCCTTTTCCTTTTCTCTCTATTCACTCTTTTTTCTCCTTTTCTCCCTTCTGTAATCCCTAATTTTTTTTAATAAAATTTTTGTTAATCGAAAAAAAAAAGAAGTTATATAAGGTTATAATCTTAAAATGTAGAATTAATATGCACCTCATAAATCATTGGAAAATGTTGTGTTAATGTTGAAAAGCCCTCTAATTGATCACCTCAACATTGACATGTATGAATATAAAAAAAAAAAAGAGTTTGAGCCCAAAAAAGTGTGCAACTTGCAATACATTATCTTGACCGTCCATTTTCAAGATTTTCATATGTTTATAGATATACTTGATTGTAACCGTTTTTGGAGTTTAAAATTTTATAGCTAGATATGAAAATAGATTTTCAGATAATCTTAAGAAGTTTTTACACCAAAATTACATGTTATAATAAAATTCGGAGTTGCACCTTAATTGGATTGTATACAATTACAACCTTATAGAAATCGCACCCAAAAAGCAAAAAAAAAAAAAAAAAAGGAAAAAAAGAAAAAGAAAAAGCTCGTGAGCTATTTCTAATTTGAACATGAGGACCTGACAATAAATAAGGGTAAATATGAAGGGCATATTAGTCATATTTTCTCTCTAATTTTTGAGCGAACGCCCTTCTCTTTATATCAGTTCGTAAATCCAAATATATTACTCGCGCTCGGATCTTAAACCGGTTTACCAGAGATTCTCTCTCTCTCTCTCTCTCTCTAACTCTCTTCCTTTCTGTATGCACCCCTCTTACCTTCTTCAGGACTCATATTTTTTTAGTACATCTCACCGAACAGAAGGAAACTCCATTTGGGCCTCTACAGAAAACCAGGTAATGCTTACAATTTTGTTACTTGCTGTCTCGCACTCCTTTTTTTTTTTTTTGCATAGTATATAAGCTTATTTATGTATAATTTGTTAGAGAAGTATTTGTTCATGTTAGCCCTAGAAATTGCAATCCTTTACTTGAATCTGTGGAAAGTTTTTCCGCCTAAACCCTATTTATCTTTCTCAATATCCTTATTTCTCATGCCATGTTTTGTGTGTGCGCGAGTTTTGTCTTAGAAAATCTGAGTTTACAATGTACCGAGACCATATCTTGTGATCAAATTCCAATATTTTTTTTGTGAAAGCATTTTGCGTTGGGAAAAATTGATGGAAACTAGTTGAAAAATGAATGTGGAGTACATTGGTTTGAATTGATGTGTAATTCATTTTCAATTGATTTGAGGATTAAATTGTTCCATAAACTCGATGTTTTGATGTGTGGTTTGCTTCAGCTTTGTATTTTGTTCATAATCAATAGGCATCATTAAACCCTAAATGATAAAACTCGCTAAAACACTGGAAAGGTTAGCTCTATAATTTTGTGCCCACACATTTTTAATGAGAAATAGCCAGTTTATTATGCTTTTTGGGAAATTTAGGGATAGATTTATTTAGGCTGAAGCTTGCTTCATTTCAGCATTTGTGAGGTGATTCTCATGAGCATCATATAGCAAAATGCTTTAGAAGTTCATGACCTAATTGTACATGTCAATATTAAATTGACCTGACATCTCTTGCTGGCAATTAACCCCTGCCGTTTTGTAAGGTGAGGGATGGTAATCAATGCTATTTCTCTCCTGACAGTGACCCTACTAATTGCTCCTAAATGAGTGAACTGCATTTGTTTCATACTCTGAATCACCTCCTCCTGTTTTGTCTGTAATTGACTAATCGTTATAGTTGGATCGTGATCCACCTATCAATAATTGATTGAGACATAAGGTTCTTTTTTATTTTTGTTTTATTTTTGTAAAGAGGCATCTGTTTTTTTTTTTAGCTTTGTTTTGTGCTAGCTGATTATGTTGGATGCTGGAAATAATAAGGACAGCGATTCTAAAGAGGAAATAAAGTGAATTAGAATATCTGTCATTTACACAGACCCATCATCGCATGTTGTCAAGAATTGGTAACCACTTAGCCTATGAGCTATGTATTGCTGTACACTAATTTGGCTTTGAATGACTTAATGACCTGCATCCATGGATTTGTGATGCAGTGATATCCATTTTTCTCATCTTGTTTCTGTTGGTATGATGTCCCCTTGGGTAGTTGTAACCATTCCTGGATCCTGTGATATGCCCCTGAAGATTCACTCCTCCTGCCATAGTAGACATATAAGTTGTTCCCTTATCTGCTCCTTCTATTTTGTTCTGGTTCTATTCCTGCAATAAACTAGAAGAATAATGAGGAATCGCCATCTAAATTACCTTAAGGAAACTAATCCCTCTAGTCCATGACCCTTGGCTGTGATTGCACTTCACTTAATGGTCCATAGTCTCTCTACTTTCTGCAATCAGCATAAGTATACACATCGAGAAAACCCATACCTCTTTGTTGTAAATTGATTTTTCTAGAATCTTATCTTCATAACTTAACTATAGAAAAGCATACACTTGAAATGAGGTGTCTTTCACCACATCTTCCTAATGGTAAGGCACCCACTTGTTACCTCCACATATTTTGTGATGTATATATTTACTTAACAAATTCCTTGTGCTTCTATGTCCAATTTGATTTTGTTCTGCGTTAACCTTCTCTTTATGTATCTATACCACCATCAGCAACTCGAGTTGCCCCTCCAATTCTTCATCTAACAATTCCTTATCAAAATTGGCATCCAACTAGTTACTTGTGGAGTCTCACAGAAAAAAATCACCACTATATCTCTGAAGTCCAGGTTAAATATCTGATTTTGAGAAAGAGAGCTACACAATCTATCTAACGGAAACTGATACTCTCTGCCATTCCCCACTCTATCCATACTGTAGGTCTCACCTTGTCAACCTTGTCAACCATGTTCCTTATTGTTTATTCTAGATGAACTTTGTCTTCAATTTCTATCCCATACATTGGATCCTTCTGCTACATGTCACAGTGCAATCCCAAATGCCTAAAAACTCCTTTTGCTTCTCAGCTTACACTTCTCCTTCTGTTTTACAAGATGGAAACCATTTCTTTGGGTCTTTCCTACGGAAAAAAATTTCCCTTGCCACCATTCAACCAGATACCTCCTTTGCAATCACATGGAGCAACATGTTGTATATGGGATAGCTTGTCACTTTCCTGGTTTCCCCCTTGCCATCTTTTTGAGGCATGACGACCTCTTGGGACCAGAAGACAAATTCGCACATCTTGTAACTGCCATTTTAGGTCCTGGCGATTCCTAACTACTTGCATTTATTGATTATTTCTGCTGAGAGGCGAAGACATTGATGAAGTTGAGAGAAATAGGCTATAAATGGGGTATTTTAAAATAATCATTCTTGACTTAAACTTGTGATTGGCCAATACAAATAATACCTTGCCCCTTTTGCCTTTAAGTATCAGGCACTGTTGGATTTCTTGGGCACACCTGCAATTTGATCCTGAGGGGTGTTTGATTTTCAAAATGGAATTGATTCCAAATTGCACTTGTGCTTCCATATTGTATTTTTTTGTAAAGCCACTCCAAGTTGTTTGTAAAATTTCAAGTCCTCTCTCTCTCTCTCTCTTCTTCTCTCTCTCTCTCTCTCTCCTCTCTACCTACCTACCTACCTCCACCTACCTCCTACCTACCTACCCTACCTACCCTACCCTACCCTA